GGCTCTCCCAGCTAAAAATGCGAGATTTCTCGCATTTTTGGCTGAGAAAGTCCGGGAAAACAACACTTATCTGGGAAAAACACCACTTATTTGGCGAGAGTAACCAGACATTTTCGGCCGGGAGAGCGCGGAAAAAACAATATTTATCGAGCAAAAACAACACTTAGCTAATTGTAGTTTTGCCCAGATAAATGTTGTTTTTCCTGAGCTCCTCGGGCCAAAGCCCAAGACGTCTCGCATTTTTGCTCCGAGAGCCTGGGAAAAACTAGGGAACAACTACACCTAGCCTGCGGGATACACTACACTTAGCTAAGTGTAGTTTTCCCAGAGGCTAAGTGTAGTTTTTCCCGACTCCCTGGGCAAAAATGCGAGACGTCTGGCATTTTTGCCCGGTTAGTCAGGAAAAACTACATGTAGCCTCCGGGAAAACTACACTTATCAAACAAACATGCGAGACGTCTCGCATTTTTGCCCAGGGAGTCGGGAAAATCTACACTTAGCCTCCGGGAAAAACACCACTTAGCTATGTGTAGTTTTTCTCAAGAGAAGTGTTGTTTTTCCCGGCCTCTCCCAGCCAAAAATGACTGGTTGGTTACTCTTCCCAAATAACTGGTAACTCTCCCCAGATAGGTCTTGTTTTTCCTGAACCATCCCGGCCAAAAATAACTGGTTCCTCTCTTCAAATAAGTGGTTACTCTCCCCAATTACCTGGTTTATCTCCAGCCACAAATAACTGGCTACTCTCCCCAAAGGACCGGTTACTCTTCCCAGAGAAGTGTTGTTTTTCCTGGACTCTCCCGGCCAACAATAATTGGTTGCTCTCCCCCAATAACTGGTTACTCTTGCCAAATAACTGGTTACTCTCCGGCCAAAAATGACTGGTTACTCTCCCCAAATAACGGGTGTTTTTCCCCTTCAACATCTTATGAAGACGTAGAGGCCGGGTCCAAGTCATATCTACACTGCCGGTGGGGCGCAGAGGGAGCACCAGCACAGGCTGTACTAGTCACCCCACTTCCAGCTAAAAGTTTTTTTTGCTCAACTTCAATTCCCTCACCAAAGTAGACCGGGAATAGACGGTTGGCAAAACAATCGTCCTGATCCAGAATGAAGAAAGACGATGCAATGTCCGCTGGTTAGCCGTACGAAATAATGTGACACATGTCTGCGTTTAGGCTTCACTGGCAGCCTGCAGCCCAGCTCACAACTGCCACGCCAACTTAACCGACTGAGGTGCTGTGTTGTGGAAAAGGAGCTGGAGCGCAGACTCGAAACAGCTAATGGCCGAATCCTTCAAGTGGAATCCAAGCTCGTCAGCCAGAAAAGGAGGCAGAACCTTTCTTGAGTCTTGAGTTCAGGACGGGTCAGAGCTACGTTGCCAGATGTGAACGTTGCACGCAATGTCAGGTTACACATGCAGGCCAAGAAGTATGACGAGATTTGCATGTTCAGCCAGATGACCATCTGCGAGCTTGAGGAACAGGTGCAAGACCTGCAGTCCGCCGTTGAGATCCTTGAAGGGGAGCGGCTGGGCGGCAGAGAACTCCGGACACACTGGGGGCAAAGGACTTACCACGGTCCCTGCCATTTCTCTTGGCCGTCACATCTTGATGTCAGTTTTGTTCATAAGCCTTATACAACACGATTTTTTGTTCGCCATCTGCCGCAGCATCCCTGAAATCATGACAGCCAGTAAAAACTAAAAACCATCCTGGCAAGCGTATAAGCCTGGCACACAGCCGCGCATGGCATGGCTTGCCGTTCAAACTCTTCGAATACAATGGACATTTACCCTATCTCGTGATCTCACTTCACATAACACGTCACCGCTACCTACAAAATTATTGCTATCGCCCTCACCGCTGCCATGTCATTTTCTGGCATCTCTTCCTGCACTTGCTCCCCCTCTGCTGCAACAGCATCATGCCTATTGCCGCCAATCATCTCTATCACTATGTGCCATGCTTGTCCACATCATTTTTCTTCTTTTGTGTATCGTTTTCTCTTTCGCTGGCTCCTTTTGCATCGACCACCTCCTCATCCTTGACATGGTCTTTTGCCTCACCATCAACATGGGGCAAATTGGGCTACTGACGCGTTGAAACCTTCTAATACAGTCTTGTGATGTATGTTCTGATAGCACAATCATCAGCCTTTTTTCTTCCAACGAACTTGAAAGCCATTTCAAGCAGTATATGCTCCTGCTAGCTTTCGTTGGTCATCGCTTGTCCTAGCTTGATTCGGCACAGATCGCTCATGGAAAGCTTCATAAACTTGGTGGTTTGGTACAGTTGCAGGGGAAGCGAGGATTACGATTGCTGCGTGCATAGGCGCGTAGCTTCGGTGAAGCACATGCAGCCCTGTGGTGCTGCTTGCAGACGGTGTCAGCCATGACAGACGTAAAGCAACTAGGACTTGGTCACGGTTCAGTTCGTCCATAGGCTTGTTTTTGCCACCATCGACTTGCTGAGGTGCAGCGACCTTCGCGACTGCAGGCCTTTGAACCCAGCCGAGATGACAAAGCAGCGGAAGGAGCCGCTGAGCAGCAGTGATGCGACAAGGCACATCCGCACATCTGGGCACCCGGGGTTTAAGATTCCGCCTCTACGCTCTGTGCGAGTTTGGGTTTCGATTGGAACGGGCTTCAGTTGCAGAGACGGCGCAGCAATCTTGTCCTAGTTGCCTCTATGACTCCTGAGCTGATGATGGTCCACCTTTGACCACATCGGTACGTGCCGCAGAGATCTAAGGTGCCATGATCGGCAGTCTTGCGCGTGCGCAACCGCAAACACTTCATGGGAGGAACCAACCACGAAAGCAGATGCTGCGCTGCCGACTAACACTGCTCTCTTGCCACTTGCTTGAACGCCTGACATGGTCTTTGTAACAAGCCAGCTATGTGCATCATTTGCACGTGGGCAGCACAGGAAGGCACTGCTAACCCGAAGGCTCTACAGAAACCAAAGCTCCATTGCAAACCCTAAATTGCACTCCAACTTCCAGACAGCTCCCAGGCCAAAGAGCGCTGGAGAGCTCCAGTCGCTTGACCTCCCGAGCAAGGGCCCGCCGAAGGATGCGGCTGCCAAGACCCATGCGGAGTCGCAGACCGACGCTGCGTGGGAGCCGTTGCTTGCCTGGAAGTGTGTTTGTAGCGCGTGCTTCTCCCTTCTCTGCTTGGACTAGCGAGACCAAACTTCTAAGCAGTTCGCCCTACAAAAAGCGGGGGGCACGTATAGAATCATGCATGCATGCTTGGGGATTGTATATCAGGGGGCGAACATACTAGAGTGGCGCAGTATCGCGAGACATGCAGCAAGCAAGCGCAAATTGATAGATCGGCTACTGTTCACAAGCGTCTGCGGCGCTTTTGGCCGCATGATTTCCGCCGACTTTATGCTTTGATGTTGCAGCTTCGTGGTTGGGCAAAACACGGAAATGTTCCTTACGCGGTGTGCTGGTCTGAAAGTCTCACGCATTTGCTGAGGCGCAGGCCTCGCCTGAGCCAGGGCAGTGCAGGCAGCACCGACGAGCCATCGGACGACGAAGAGTTGGAGCAATTCACGTTCCATAGCTGCAAGCGGCGGATAAAGGGGAGCAAGAAGTTGGAGGGAGAGGTCCTGCAATCGGCATGCGCTTTTGAAGCCTTCTTGGTTGTTGAGGTCTTCCGATTCAGAAGATGTCAGGGAAGAGCGTGCGGAGTTTGATCCGCATTCTCTCCTGATGCACTTTGGCTTGATTGTGTTGTTTGCTTCTCGGGAAGGTTCAGTTGCCAGCGCTGGAAGTTCCTTTTTGATGAGCTTGCCTCTGCTGCTAGGCCCAATCTGCTGAAGTACCTCACCGCGCCTTGCCTTGTTTCTATACTTTGGGGGTTGCTGGCAAAAATTGAAAGGCAGGGTTTTGGATCATGGAACGAAACGGCGGGTTTTGGATTCTGACGAGAGTTCTGCCTTCCAAGCGAGGTGCCAGAGATATTGAGCTGGCGTGCGACGTCTCAGCAGACCGGGCACTCGAAGGCAGGCGTGGCACGGTTGTCAGCACCCTTTTAATCAGCTTAAGATCATCATGGCAGATCACAGCGGGACATGGGAGTTTCATTGGGCCAGGGCCTGGGGAGCTTCGAGCCGTCTCGGAGTCATCCAGCAAGTCCAACAGAAAGTGCCCGCTGGGCGTTTTGGAGTGGTCCATGCAGCACCAAAAGCATAGTGGTGGGCAGGCTGTGGTGCTGGGCCCGGAGGCAGAAAACAGATTTGCAGAACATGCTGACGCGTCATTGGACCTCCCTTTCTGCGCCATGTGGGTCCGGGTGGAAAAGGGTCAATCAATCCAAGGTGTTTTTTGCAGCTTCCCCTCACCTTGCAGTTTCTGGGCCTCATTGGGCCTCGAAGTGTCAAAGTGTCAGTATCCCAGCACATCCCTGGCAGTTGTTGGATTCATGCCCTTTCGGGGCCGACCGCAAGTGCTGAACGTAAAGCAACTGAACAAGCAGTCCCAGGTCTTACCAGGACGTTCTCTTGGTTTCTTTGTGCCCGTCTGCTGCTTGTCTCCGATCTGAGACTCTGCCTCAGGCAACCTGTGATCATTATTTCGCGGTGGCAGTGGCGGACTTCAGCAGGTGGGTCTGTTCACGTGTTCCGTTTGCGAGTGATCACATCAATGTGAGACCTTGACTTAATGTGACCTTTGACGAACCTAGTAGGCGCCTTGTAGGGGTTTGAAATGCGGCAAAGCTTGGCTGCTTTGCAAGTGCATCGAGTAGCAGCACGTAGAACCTGGAAAGCTCAGCAATGTTTTGACCCCCTCCCTTAGGAAAGAAGGTCTGAGAGGATCCCCTCCACATGGCGAGGGTCTAAAGGCTGACCCCTTGCAAGGAGGATGCAAGAGCTTCAAGTGCAGGCAAAGTAAGTAAGGTCGTAAGTCAGCGTCAGGGAACATATCGATGACTGGGAGAGCTCTTGATCAGCTTGAGCTGCAGGCCTTCTTCCATGGCGACTTTTATAAGCATGACTGAGAGCCTCCGACCTGCCTGGCGGCGTTCCCGAGCCGATTTCTATTCTGAGTTGGTGTCGCACTGTGCGGGCAACGTTCAGTTGGAGAAAGCCTTCCTCTGTTGCTTGGCCTAAGTCTTTCCCGCCAGTGGTGCATGCGGCTTGAGCGGGGATGTGTCCAAATCAAGTGATGTATAGTTGAGGTCAGTTGATGTGCTTGAAGCTGCTCCGTGTGCAAGTGTCTCCTCTGGCCGAATCCGAGCGCCGTGAAAGGGTTAAGCAGATGACCCGTGTCTTTTATGGACACTTGCTGAGTGAAAATGAGGAAGTTCATGAGGCCGCCCACACATGTTTAGAGGGCTGCTTAAAAGGGGACAAGGAGTACGCACCAAAACTTGTGGCTCCGTACGTCTTGGCTTTCCTCGACACAAGATTGAATTCCTCACTCGACTTGCCTGGCAAAGACTCCGCCATGAACTTGTTGGGGATGCTCTGCCGGTCTCTTGGTAAAGCTCAGCGGCGAAACTGGATGGCACGGCTTGTGAAGCTCCTGCAACTCTACGAGACCGAGACGTTGGCTTGCAAACTCAATGTACTGTATCGAATGAAGGAACTCTGGACACTCGACGCTGTCCCCAAGGCTACATTTCCAGAAGCGTACGAGCTTTTGCTCGGAATGATGCGGTCGACTTCGCTGGATTCTGAATTGAGAGAGGCGATTTTTGCTATGTGCTTTCGCTATTAGCATGCGCGATCAAAACAAGAGCTGTGAAGCTGATTATTGCCTGTGGCTGGTAGCCACACTTCACATGTGAAGTTAAATTAAGCATCAGGATAAGATGGACCTGGTGGACAACAGTGACGATCGCCGGGACAATCGCCAGGCTTGGCAGGCAAATGGCAGAGATCAGCACCAGGGCATTTTGGGGATGGGGAAGGGTTCTAGCATCAGCATGAAACTTATGAATTCTGTATGGTGATTTGTCACGCAATCTGTAAGACTGTTAGATTCACGCGTGTATGCCAGCTTGATCTGAGGTTGCAGCAAGGAACCATGACGTAAATGCCTAATCTCTGATTAAGAAGATGCTGTGCAAAGGTGCGATGTGAATCTGTGCAGTATCGTATCGAACAGGGACAAGTCACTGTTGCGCAACAGGCTGTTCCTGGTCACCAGAGGTGGCAGCATGTGGAGGCCAGACAGGAAGGTATTTGCTTTGACTCTGACATGTGCAGTTTTTCGGTGTCTGGGGGTTCATTGCGTCTGCTTCTGCGTTTGCGTAGACTTTACAGCTTCCAGGTGTTCGTGTCTGAGTGGATTGACCTTGGCGTAGCTTTCTTGACATGAGTGACGGACCCAATCCGCTATTTCTCGAAACAGTCCGGCTGATCGTCAAACCATGCTGGCTTTGTGCGGCGCCAGCAACTCCACTTGGAACTTGTTTGAGAGCCTGTTGAGACGTGCTGTGCGTGAAGACACTGATAGAATTGCGCGAGGCGTTCGGGATCGTGCTTGGGCTCTCGGCTCCTTTACCGCGAATCTCGGGCCTCCCTAATTTTGATGAAGGGAACGTGGTAATCGCTGATGACCGTCGACGTTTGCTACATGTTTGTTGGCTGCCTTCCCACTTCAGCTTGCAGAAGTGTTCCATCGAAATTCATGCCGCGTCACTTGCGCAGGAGGTCACGCAGTCGCAGGAGATCCTGGATTCTGATAGTTGGCTACTGATTTCCCATGCTCATGTTTTGCCAACACATTTTCAAAGCAGGATATCCCCTCCTCAAAGGGGTGTCTGTGTGTGTACACCCTGATTCTAAGCTAAAGGTTGTTGGTTGACGGTGAGACTGACTTGAGGCTCATCAGGACTGCGTAGAAAGCTGACTTGATCTCCAAAGATTTCAATTTTCCATTCGTCAAAGCAAGGGAGTGCGGCGTGGCTTTGGAACCGCGCTCAACGAAGCTACCACAGTCATGGGATACCGGGTTTGATCAACCTGGCGTACCTGCTTGTACGGACAAGAGACTTTGACAGCGTGGTACATGGCACTTCATGGAGGTTCATGCCAGGATCATGTGATGTGGGAACTGCAGCATGTTACGTGGCAATTTTGGTCAGGATCATGTCAATTTCATGTGTAGGACGTTCTTCAATGTGTACCTGTGTACCAGCAGGCCGCCCCCCCCTCGAAACGGGAAGCCAATCGATACAATCCCTTATCCAGATCCATGTAGTATGGATCCGTTGCTATCCATTCATGTTGTCGCTGGTCAGATGCAGTTCAGAGGGAAGAGAATTCAGATGTGTCAGCATTCACAAGCAGCAACGGACTGGAGTGCATGACAGAAGTTTCCAGCCAACGAAGACGCTTCTGTTCATGCAGTTTAGGCGTACCTGCAGACCAGTTCTTGGGTGCTGAGAGCACAGCTGGATTGGTCACATGTGAAAGTCGGGCCCTTTTTCATGCTATCAAAAAATGTTTTTCAGGCGGGCATGAGCGCAACAGTCTCCAGACATGTTGCTGTGCAATCTTTGTACACGTCAGTTGCCAGGTGCATTCATGCAGATGAGTGTTGACTACCTTCGTGTTAAGATGGAGAATCAAAGAAGTGGAAAAGAAGAATGCAATCGCCATTCATTGGATTCGATAGTCCGCCAAAGTTTATTGTTTGGGTTGGGTCATGCGTGAACATGTTCCGTGAAATTTTTGCATGCGTAAAATCCAGTCTCGATTTGCAAAATCCAGATTGGGGCCCACTTGCTATCGCGACATCACACCCGGCCCACTTGCTATCGCGACATCCCCTGAAAGATTTTGCGAAAACCAAACGCCCGTGATTTCTTTTGAATTCATCCCTTCCTAATTCAACAACAAGTAAACTGAAAACATCAACCTCGCACCTGAGCCTTATCCTTGCCCCTAACTCCAAATGCCCACTCTTATCCCAGGGAGTAGTTGAAGGAGTGGAACCGTACAAGACCAGCAACATTGTAAATTACAGCATTTAAAAGGACCAGCAAGCGCTGCAATCCGCAGCGTCTCAAACGTTCTAAAACCAACAAACGTTGTTACATGCAGCGTTTGGAACTTTCTAATACTAGCAGACGCTGCAGATTTCGAAGGTGCCAAAGGCAGCAGATGCTGTAATCTGCAAAATTTGAAGCATTCCAAGACCCAAGAGCAGCAGATGGTGACACCAAGAAGGAGCCATTTTCACACTGTTTTTTTTTTTTTTTTTTGGATTTTCCGAGTTGCATCGAGTGGTCCTACCCGTAGTGGTTTTAGACACTTACTTTTTGATGTTGAAATAACATGTTTTGGTCTACGAATACATGCTTTCTGGTGAATCCTAGTTTTTTGATGTTGACTATTTTTGGGATCCCGCACCCTGTCAAAACAGCTTGCTAACTTTGGAGTCGTTTTAGATTTTCGTTGCATCCCGTAGCCGGAAGTTGTCAGGCAGTGCGTTCGACCCGGCGACGTTGGGTTCCTGGTGTTGCCGTGCCTGAAGAGGACCGGTCTTTGAAGAAGGCGGGCGTGGCCTTCAAACCATTCATTGTACTCTGCTAACCAGGAATCGTTTTTGTTGGTGAATGCCAGGAAATTGCCGAGTTGCGGCGTCAGCTGGCAGAGGCACCGGGCAGTCTGTTTATGGCTAAGTGTATATTAAGCCTATACTATACTCCAACATACCCCAATACAAGCGTTTCGAATTCAGGGCACAAACAGATTAGGGTTTCCAAAAATGAGGGGCCCCGTGAGGGTACGGACCATAGTCTATTGGGGTCTATATTCACGCTCTCTTCATGCTGAAACATACGAGGCCGAAAGCGAGAAGGCACGGGAGTGGGCCCAGAATGTATTTCAAGGGTTCCCGTACTACACCTCCCCAATATTACCTGCCCCCAGGTTTTCTCTCAATAAGGCTTCGTCAAACCTCGCGCCTTTCACCTCAAGTGTCTTGAGAGGGATGTTATTGAGAATAAAGGCTTCATTGGTTCTATGACCCAAAACACTATTCAAATGCGAGTGTAGAACGATGCAGCTGTGGACTGACCGCACAACAATCTGACAATTCAGGGACATTTCAGACAAGGAGGCACAGAAAAGTGTCATTGTTTTGGCAGATGCCTTGATCGATCTGAGCTGTTGGTATGAAAGCAAGTGTTCCTATCTGCGTCTTGGCCCCCAGTTGGGCATGTATGGGGCTTTTACCATGTATAGGAGGTACAAGGAATGAAGAGATGGATCTCTGTAATGAGACTAGTCTTTAAAGAATCCCCTGGTACTGTAACTCCTTTCCATTCCTTGGTTCCCTGCTAACCATAGGTAGGTCTTCAAGCCACTCCAAATGCCAGTTTTTGCTTCCCATTTTCAATTTCCGTTTCCATTCGATTCTCCATGCTTGGGGTAATGTCTCATGTAATGTCCCTGTATACTCCCTGCGTGATCCCTAATTAGTCCCAGTATAGCTCCATATATCCCAAGCGGATTCCTGGTGAAGACTTCAGCTCCCGCACCAAGCCCAAGGCGCGATCAAGAAATCGCAGAGCTGAAGCGAGAAGTGCAGGCCAGGATGATTCGCATTTTGGGTCCAAGTTGACAGCTACAAGGAGTCTAGATAGTAGATGTCATGGAAGTTATTGGGAAGCTTGCGAAAGCAGGAAAGGGATGGCCGAACAAGAGGCAGTTGTGTTTTTTCAGCCTCTTGATCCGGTTCGTAACCAACAAATTCATGCTTCTCCTGATTTGTCTGGCCACGACCGCCGCGTCCTTTGCCACCAATGTTCGCAGTGGTTCTGAATCAGCCGTATGCGAAGCCAACGTTGCTGCACAAAGCCTGGTGAGCTGTGGGTCGACTCACAATGCATCCTACTGCTACCAGACCTATGGATAGTGGCCAACCCGCAGCCCCATGGCCAAATAGCTACAGCGCCTGTAGACGAACAGATGACGTACATGATGAAGCCATACGCAAACCTCAGACATTCGGGGCACGTTCACTCAAACACAGGGCACGGAACAAGATGACTATGGATGCTGATGGTGGGGTACTGCCGGAAACACCAGCAGGGCATGACGAGATAACCCTCAAGACCTCCAAGGTTGGACCGAGTTCGTACTCCATAGGTTCCTATGCGCCAAACGGTGGCGCATTTTGCAAAGACCTTCAGCAATGTGGACCGTCTCACAGCGCAACGCCTCGACCAATTTTCCCAAACGCCAGATAAATCAGGAAGTGAAACTGACTGAACACCCAAACGATTCGACAGCCACCGTCTGACGACAGTTCTCACACCAAGCACAGCGCGGCTTGGCTGAATCTCACAGCACGCAGTGGTCCAACATCCAAGTACCACCGGCCCAAGCTGTACTGAACGAGCATGCGGAAAACATGCTGGCACGGATCGAGCACGGGGAGGCCCCTGAACCTGACGTTAGCGAGCGTCGGGATTTTGTGTGACCTTATGGTCTCAGCCCATTTGTAGCTTTTTCTGTAAGAGTACTTTCCACGCCTTGGCTCCTTTTGAACACAAGCAAGGTGATACGGAAGATTATTTGAGTACTTTAGAAAGCAACGACACTATCTCAACGCTTTGCAGCGGAAATGAAGGAAATCGATCCTAGTATGCCCAAGTGGAGGCTGTTTGCTGGCCACAAAGGGCCACTTGAACTGCCAACCACTTCCGGTAGGCTCTTTTCGGCGGGTCGCTAGCAAATCCCGTTTTCGGGGTTTTGATGTGTTTTTCTGTTGTGGGTTCATTCTTCGCATGCGCTGACTTTCCGTGGGCCTGCTAGGCGGTGGCAGTACAGGTATTGCAGGGTCTTTTTTTCGACCGCATAGCGCGGAGAGTGCTTGGCAGCGGCTGGCGAAGGGCTTTCGCAAATTCTGAGGGTCTGAGATTTAGAGCTGGGAGATTTTTGGACTGCGTTGGCTGTTAGGAGTCAATCTTGGGAGTCAAGCCCGGCATGGAAACATGTTAGCTTCTGCCCCCTGAAACTTCCTTGTCCGTATTAACGAATATGTGTATTTGTATAGATATGTAATGTATACACATGCAAGAACTTGCTTAGTTGAGGATATCATGGATGATAAATATGGTGTGCTGGGGTTAGGAAGCACGATCACCGTCAGAAAGCAAATCTTTTTGAAGATCCAGTTCTTTTGTCAAAGGCTATGGCTCAAAGCCTAACACCCGAAGCCCTACCTACACCATGGACCGTGACCCCCAGCTTTGCACCCCAGGCACTTCGTGCAGAATGGAAGACTGTGAAGGCTGATGCCAGTATCTAGCAAAAAATGAACACACGTGTACATATGTATATATATATAGAGATATGTACACACGTATACGGTTGTGCAGAGTGGAAGGATCAAATGGAAGATCTCATAGCTAGAAGCAAAATGAATCAGCCCCATGCCAAAACATGTTTCACATTCGTGCGTAGTGCTGAATCCCTGAAAGTGTTTGCTCTCTATGCTTTTCCAAGTCACGCAGGGTTTCTCGTCGCGAAAGTCTGAGGTGATGATTGGAAAGGGCCGTTGCGAAGGAAGCCAGCCTCTTGCCAGCATTCACGTTTGATCTCGCAGCGTGCACGCAATAGTCGAATCAAGTCCTGCTACATGGAATACCCGCATTTTACAGACCTTAGGCTCGGCAGGAAGGTCTGGTGCCTGAGCTGCACTAGTCCACGATCCTTGCGCCCGCATTCAAAAAGGTGCGCTCGGCGACGCATGCCTCGCGAGCTAGGATGTCGGTTTTCAAGACATGTCACCCTCTCACCGGGTTTCGTTCTATAGCAGTCCACCTGAGAGAATCTCGGCTTGTGAGATGCTTGTGCGTTCTTCTAATTTGATAGTACCGCTGTCTCGCTGACGCTCACGATGCATACTTCTAGTGATGGTCAGCCGGTACTGGCCTTCACGATGAGTCTGACCACGAAGCTCCGCTTGATCTTTTTGCTTTCCTACTCCTCACCGCGCGCCCGCGCAAGCCGAGGATTGGTGGATGGCCTCCGGAACAAAGCAGTATAGAGACCAACAAGAGATTGAAGGAGCACAGCCTTCCAAAGTCCAAGGGAAGATGCTGGTGTTAAAGGTGTATTGAGGCATACATGGTCTTTTTTTTCTTTTTTTCTTTTTTGGGGGTCTGGGCCTGCATCCAGTTGTTCGCCGTTGCAGTTTCAGCTTGCGCCAGGAAAATTATCTGGCGTAAGCTCTGTAGGGACAGACAGGAGACAGGCTTCGTGCCTTGAGTGTTACGTGCAAAGCCTGCCTGCATGGTGGACAGTTTTTGGAAGATCTGTAGCTCTGATTGGCCATGCAGCTTGACGACTCACAATACATCAGGAGCACATGTCAAGAGCGGGCAAGTGCACCTGGGCATTTATGGGCTGGAAGGGTGAAGGCACGGGGTCCGACTGACTGACATAGCCAGGAGGACTAGAAGTTGTGTTTGGCTCTATTATCTAGCCCGCACCAAACGGCGTGGGGGTTTTTGACGATTCGGGCATGAGCATAGAGACGCGGTCAGAACTTTGGGGCTGTTATGTTCGTTTTGTGGCCTGCAGGGTTGCAAGCCCCGTCTTTGTGTGGAGGCTATGCGGTCTTCCGAACTCCGGAGGAGAGTCAAAATGCGCCGCTTGAAGTGCAGAAAAGGATGGTCGAAGACACATTGCATGTAACAGGTCCCATTTACTAGGTGCGAAGGTACGAGCCCAAAATCAGCACGGAACTCCAAAGACCCTGAAGTTGCGGCCAAGCCCCAGGATAGCAAAGCTCAACGGCAGCGTGTTCGATGGGCACACCCTTCAGGTGGCAGCTCGTCTGAGGGACTCCTGTTCAGCACCTTCCCAAGATCGGTGCCATTCCTGTTTTTTCATGCAGCGTTTTTGAATCGCTTGGCGCTTCGTTTTTTGTCATCTTGGATTTTGCCGGCCCAGGACGTGTGGACCAAGAAGAGGCATGGATGCACAGCGGATATAGATGTCTGAGCGGTTGCGCTGGGAGACATACAGTGATGATTAAACATTCTGAAGTTTTGGGATCACGCGGCCTGAAATTGATCCCCAAAGCAACAGCTGAGATGAAATCATTTCCCCGAAGCTTCGCATGCGCTCCGGCCTCCGAAAAAAAGTACGCTCACAAACAATCTAGGTGTCCTAAAGCTTTGTGATGGTCAATTTTTTAGATCATATCGAATATCAAGCTTTTTTTATTTTGGTGACACGTGATAGTAGTTCTTCTGAGATGTAGGTGGAGAACATGCCGCTTGCGGCTGGATTTGCGTATGGAAAGTTCCTGAAGGTATTGTGGTCTTGCCATCGTAGCAGAGCTTTCGTATAGAATTCTCTGCGGCTTACATACTTTGATGGGACAGGGTAGGATGAGATAGGTCAGACAGGCAACAGGTAGGGAACTCGAAAGACATGTACCGTATAAGATTTGGGCTTCATCACGTTCAGGCTTGTGCAAGCAATGCAAGCGATGCAATTGGTCCGGCCGGATCATGTCTTGACATGTCAAGTGCTGTTTCGAGGTGTGACGCAATAATCTTCTACCGTTTGTTTTGTCTACACTCATTTCTTTCGTGCGAAGCCGTTTTGGCCAGAAGCTGCGTGTTGGTCCTCGTCGATTCTCCTGCCATTCGACGTTTGAGTTCAGGATAACTTGATGCTAGCAACATTCAGCCGGTGACCATCCACCCAACATACAAGCAGAAGGTCCTGGATGAAACATTCTAGTTGCACGGACCGCATTCAATCATTTCTGCGGATTGCGCAAGGCAGCGGGCTTAACTCCGAAGTCGGTACCTACTGACTGAGATTGATTCTGTGCGTGACGGTGGTTGATTTTCCTTTCGAGCCCAATGCAACCTGACCTCAGCTTCTTTTGTTGCTGCAACGTGATGTCTGCATTTTCATGTGCGAGTTTTGACAGGATTCTGAGCGCTTAGAATCAAAGCTGGTGGAAGGCCGGCAAGAAGTGTCGGAGAAAATGTCAGTCATTGTGTATGTGCCTGAGGCGGATGGCCCCAGATCCAAATTCGCATGTTCCGGGCAGATCTCCACTGCGTGGCATTTGCCAAGGTCGCCAGCTGAGAACACGTAGACTCAGATTCCTACATTCCGAATTCTCGATATACGGTATGTAGGTGGAGCTGCTCTAGCATAATTTGATACTGAAAGTTGTCTGGTGTTTGTTTGCTGCAGAGTTTTCACTTGATGCCGGATCCCTTCCCCAGCCGTCAATCCAGATTCAGCGCTGGTCACGTTCTGAGTGATGCAGGCCTCAGAAATTTTCGGTGGCAGACCACTTACGGCGCCGACTTTTGCACTGACTTCAAGGAGCCACCCCACCTTCCGGTCCTTAAACGTCTGTATGCAGGAAGCTGCCGAGACTTTATACTTCGTATGACTGTTGCTATATGTTGCTATCATGGTTGTAGCTTTTCTCGCGTTCGTACCATTGCTTTCTTGCACCTGCAATCAGAACTAAATCCATGCGAAACGTAGTTTCTCGAGGCTGTTGTGCTTGTGTAGGTCGTCTAATTGGGAGCGAGACTCAGCACAGCATTTTGAGAGGGCAGTCACGTACTCCGGGCAGACTCTATGCGCAAGGACGAAGGGTGTGTGGGGGGAAAACGGCAAACAAAGGTTCAGAGGAGCAATTCGTAAATCAAATGCATGTTGCCTCGGGTCAGGCTTGAACTCTCCATGGGGACACCACCAGATGCAGTAACAGTTGAAGCTCGGCCATGTGCCAGGACTTGATGCCTTCGAAGCCAGCCCCTCTCATGTCTGGGGTTGGCCCCTCAGCCGGGAAATTTCGGATAGATTCCGGGTCTAGAAATGGGGAACGCAGAAAGCAGGGATGCACCATGGGGCTTGCGGGCTTCCCCAGCCTCGGCACACAAATCCTCATGATGCTCATGACTTCATGGTTATATGAGCGAAGCTGATCACGCATGGAGGAGGTCTTCTTTGCGAGGGCAAAGAGTTTGCGGTAGTTCACAGACGCGTAGACATATTTGTCAGATCTCCTAGCCCTGGTTGCAGGCCTCTTCTGATCACATCAGAAAGCTAGTCTGAGGCCGATCCATCCAGCTCTTCAAGCATCCGCAAGTTCAAGGTGTCGTCCTCAAGCGATCAGTTCCCCTTGCCTAGACTTGCAGCGTCAGAGTCACTTAAGCAGGAGGACCATGATTTTCTAGGGTTCGTGAGGTCATGCACCTGTAGCTGCAACAGAACAACGCTGATCCAGCATGAACAGTTGCGCCTTGAACTGCCCATGATCATGTTCATCACGGTGGTTCATGTGATGACTGGTGCTGGAGGAGCTGCTGCTGCTGCTGCTGCCGTTGTCGCTGTTGCTGTTGAAGTTGCTGTTGCTGTTGAAGTTGCTGTTGTGGCGAGCTTCTTTATGGCCCCGCTGCAGCACCGAGACAGAGCTTCTGTTGCCGCCCGCAAACACCGCCGTTGTCAGAACCAGCCTGCTTTGCGCTCCTAATAGTGGTTAGCAGGAGCATTGAAGACACAGCGCTGGAAAACTCTTCAAAGCACCTTGCCCCCTTTCAGATTGTAATCCGAGGAACTCGTCCTTGAGACACCTGATGAAGACAAGTGCATGTGTAACGGTCATGTGGGTGCTCCAAGACTGCCTGTTTGACCATCCCCATAATCGCCCTGATGCAAACCCCTAAATACAGTAGTTATTGTTGTTGTGTTAGTTCATACTAACAACTAACAACCTGAAAGAAGAGTGAGGCCAAAGTACCAACTACGCCGCTGCCTGGCCGGCTACGTGCTCTAGGCACATGCAAGTCAATATCGGAGTTTCCGAAGCCTGGGGGTCATCCTTTAGGGGCTTTTAGAAGAGGATTTTGCTATGTATCAGGTGCCCCTGTTTCTGGAAACTCCTACATGATTGCTTCTCAGCAGTAAGCTGAATGCATAAAGCTCTCCAGGAGAGAGAACGCTGGCAGCACGTGGAGGCAAGCTGGCTGTGCAGATGACCATTTTGCAGATGACCTGTTACGTTTCCATGATGTCTGGTAGCGCACCCATGTACGTTGTAACGGAAAACCATCGGGCGGTCCCGACAGCAATGGCCCAAAACGCCTTGCTCCCGAAAGCATGGGGAACGGTTTTTCAGTGAAGGTGGCTTTCTAATAGGACAGCCTGATGTTTGATTGATGGGACCGTGTGAGGTTTTAGTGATGGGATGATGTGACTGGGATGGCGTGAATGGGGTTATGTGAATGGGATGACGTGAATGGGGTGATGTGAACGGGGTGATGTGAATGGGGTGATGTGAATGGGATGGTGTGAGAAGCTTGTCGTATGGTTGTCGCAAGGTATCGGCTGGGATGTGAGGTTGATGGCATGATGTGAAGTTGTCGTCAGGTGCACGAGGTCTTCGTGAGGTTTCCGTGAGATTTTTGCAAGGTTTTTATCAGGTTTTAGATTGCTTTCGGTGGTTTTCGTGAGGTTGCTCTTGAGGTCGCGTTCTGGCTTTATGGCTTTACACTAAATTCATAGGTTTTTCGAAAGCACTGGCAAGGGCCGGCAGGAACCGCAGCAGCTTCCTGAAATCGCGCTTGCGCGTGGAGCATGCTGCGTATTCTGGCCGCGGTCGTCTACCTTCTCAATGGTCGACTGTGGGCGTGCAGCGTCCTTCGAATTCTGGCCGCGATTGGCGATTGACAACCCTCTCACAATAATGGTCGAGCCGTGTCTTGACGCTGGCTCGTGGAGCGGTCTCTGAATTCTGGCTGTGATCGGCGACCCTCTCCGAGAGCCTGTGGTGCTGGTCGTGAGTCCTCCTGCGAATTCTGGGACGCTCCATGCGACAATGTCCGGGAAGGCCGCAACTGCAAGTTTCAAACGTGCCAAAAGCAGCTGTATTTTGCAACGTTTGAGACGTTCCAAGAGCAGCAGATTCTGGGGTTGGTAGCAGCTTGTAGCGTTTAAAGCGGTTTCAGACACTGATTTTTTTGGGATTTCCCGAATCGCATCGAGTGGTCCTACCCGTAGTAGTTTTGGACACGTTTGTTTTGGTGCTGAAGTAACATATTTTGGTCTGCGAAGAGACTTTTTGGATGCTGACTATTTTTGGATCCCCCACCCGGTCGAAACACCTTGCTAAGTCTGGAGTCGTCATAGATTTTCATTGGAAATTGCCAGGCGCCACGTGCCACGCGGCGACGCTGGGTCCCAAGCATTCACCAGCAAAGATGATTCCTGGCCAATGCGTGGTGTGAAAGACACAGCCGCCTTGTTCAGGACGACACCTGGCCAGCTTACCCCATCAGGCACGACAACACCTGACTTTTGCAGGGCTAGCAGTTGCTCAAGTGCCACAATTAGCTTGAGCGGGATTAGAAGCTCAGACCTTAAACTGTAAACTTTAAACCCACCCAAAAAAAACTGAAAAACCTTAAGCTTTAAACCCCGACGCCAAAAAAAACACCTTCCAGGAGCATCGACTGTCCTTGGAAGCCCGGCTGGCGGAGGCACTTGGCAGTCTATTTATGGCTAAGCGTATCTTGAGCCAGTATTATACCCTAATATATATGTCCCAATATAAGGGCTTAGAATTCAGGGCGAAAACAGATTATAAGGCTTCCAAAAATGAAGGGCCTCATTTGAGGGTACCTGATACCTGTAGTCCGGACCATAGTTTATTGGGGTCTATATTAACGCTCTCTTCATGCTGAAGCATACGAGGCTGAAAGCCAAATCGCAGTGCCGTGGGCCCGGAAGGTATTTCATGGGTTCCCGCATTACACCCACAATGTTACTCGCCCCCAGGTTTTCACTCAATAAGCCTTCATTTGCCCTAATTATCCGTAACCAACTTGCAGTAAGGGTGAATGTAGGGGGTGGGGGGGGGTTAGTAAAGCAGGAGTAGTAGGGATCCCATGTCTACACATGGAAGTCCACGAATGTGTTTGCCTCCAGAATGTGGTTGATGCTCTATAAGCCCAGAAGTACTCTACCTAGCGTCTTTAAAGACAGGAATGTTAGACGCAGTCAGCCTTCGTAATTTGGAAGGCGGGGCAGGATCTTTCGGGCACGTGCTAATCTTTGGAAATTGAAGCTGCTACGTCCGTGATTGGCACGATGTTCTTGCGAATTGAACCGAGAAGCCCAACTGGCGCATTCGGTACTTAAGTTCCAGTAGTAGTCGTGAACATTTAGCCTCATAGAAAACTTCAGAACACCCAACCCGCAAACGTTAGCCCATCTTACCCGAAGCTACCCATGCTTCAGCTGGAGATATCCAGCCCGACCATATTGGCTCTGCGAAGTGTCAGAGAACACTTTTTTGGGTATCTGGCAAACCTTGCGCCTTTCACCTCAAGTGTCTTGATAGGGATGTTGTCGAGAATAAAGGTTTCCTTACTTCTATGACCCAAAACATTACTCAAAAATGCCAGTGTAGAACGCTGCAGCTATGAACTAACCCCACAACAGTCTGATCATTCAGGGACGTTTCAGACGAGGAGGCCAAGAAAAATGTCATGGTTTTGGCAGATGCCTTCATCCATCTGAGCTATTGGTATGAAAATAAGCATTCCTGTCAAAGTCTTGGGCCCCCACCTGGGCTTGTATGGGGCTTTTACCATGTAAGAAGGTACAAGGAATGAAGGAATTGATCTTCATAGTAGGTCCTGAAATAATCCCCAGTAACTCCTTTCCATTCCTTAATTACTGTTCCATTCGAGTCTCCATTGTTTGGGTAATGTCCTATGTAATATCCCTGTATACCGCCTTTATGATCCCTGTTTCATCCCAGTGTAGCTCCATATACTCCGACTCGGATTCCTGGTGAAGACTTCAGCTCCCGCACCAACCCCAAGGCGCGACCAAGAGATTCTTGAGCTCAAGAGGCAGCTCCAGGCCAGGAAGATTCGCATTTTGGGTCCAAGGCTACAAGGAGTTTAGATAGTAGATGTCATGGAAGTTATTGGATGTTATTGGGAAGCCTGCGAAAGCAGGAAAGGGATGGCCCAACAAGAGGCAGTTGTGTTTTTTAAGCCTCTTGATCCGGTTCGTGACCAACAACTTCGTGCTTCTTCTGATTTGTGCGGCCATGACCGCCGCGCGGTTTGCCACCACTGGTCGCAGTGGTTCTGGATCAACCGCATGCGAAGCCAACGTTGCTGCACAAAGTGTGGTGAGCCGTGGTCGAATGACAATGCATCCTCCTCCTACTACTACTACTACTACTATTACTACTAGACCTATGGATGGTGGCCAACCCGTAGCCCGACATGGCCAAATAGCTACAGCGCCTGTAGACGAACCGATGACGTACATGATCAAGCCATACGCAAACCCCAGACATTCGGGGCACTTTCACGCAAACACAGGGCACGGAACAACACTACCGTTGATGTGGATAGTCGGGTACCTGCCGGGGACACCAGCAAGTCATTACGAGGTAGCCCTCAAGCCCTCCAAGCTTGGACTGAGTTCGCGCTCCATAGGTTCGTATGCGCCAAGCGGTGGCGCATTTTGCCAAAACCTTCAGCAATGTGGACCGTTTCACAGCACAACGCCTCGACCAATTTTCCCAAGCGCCAGATAAATCAGGAAGTGAAACTGACGGAAAACCCAAACGATTCGACAGTGACTGTCTTACGACGGTTCTCACACCAAGCACAGCGCGGCTTTGCTGAATCCCACAGCACGCAGTGGTCCAACATCCAAGTATGACCGGCCCAAGCTGTTCTGAACGAGCATGCGGAAAACATGCTGGCACGGATCGAGCACGGGGAGGCCTCTGAACCTGACGTTAGCGAGTGGGGATTTTGTGTGACCTGATGGTCTCAGCCCATGTGTAATCCAGACCCGTGCCAAAACATATTTGACATCTGTGCGTAGTACTGCTGGCCTGAAAGAGTTTCTTCCCTATGCTTTTCTACGTAATGCAGGGCTTCTCGACGCGAAAGCCCGAGGTGATGCTGGGAAAGGGCCACGGCAGAGGAAGGCAGCCTCTTGCCAGCATTTGCGTTCGATCTCGCAGCGTGCACGCAACAGGCGAATCAAGTCCTTCTACATGGAATGCCCGCATTTTACATAGGCTAGGCAGCATGTCATACAAGCTGTTCAGGTTCCATGTGCTGCCAGCAGACAGGACGATTTGGTGCCTGAGCTGCAATAGTCCGCTTGGCGATGCATTCCTCACGAGCTAGCATGTCGTTTTTAAAGGTATGTCACCCTATCACCTAGTTTGATTCTTTAGCAGTCCACCTGACGAAGCCCCGCTTCATCTTCTTGCTTTCCTACTCCTCACCGCGTCCCCGCGCAAGCCGAGGATTGGTGGATTGCTTCCAGGGTCACTGACAAACAACAAGAAGCTGCAGGAGCACAGCCTTCCAAAGTCCGGGCGAAGATGCTGGTGTTAAAGGTTTATCTAGGCAGATCTAGGATATGTTTTTTTGTTTGGGGGGGGCTGGGCCTGCATCCAGTTGTTCGCCGTTGCAGTTTCAGCTTGCGCCAGGAAGATTATCTGGCGTAAGCGCTGTAGGGACAGACAGGAGACACGTGGATTTTCATAATTTTCAATTTCCTAAATTTTTCCCTTGCGATTGCCGTCCGTCCCCAGCCTGTAGAGCTGCAAAGAACCTACTGTACATTCTCTTCCCCCGACCCACCCGCCCCACTAGCCCTAGTAAGTATGAAAAGTGACAAGGCCGTGCCGTATTCTCACTACGGCCGCAAGTAACAAACAATACTGACTGATAACAAACTGACAAACAACAAGAATAGATAGTGGTAGTGGTAGTAATAATACTACTGACAACAATAATTCCAGATTTTGGTAGTTTGATGAAATACCAGCATGAATACCACTGCTTACTTCTTAGTTATGTATCAGCAAAATATCATGATACACAGCAGTAGTAGAAGCGAGACATAAAAGTAACAACACATGATGATGATGGATAGCAATAGCACATGAAACAGATAATGATCACATGTGAAAGTCGAGCCCTTTTCATGCTACCAAACAGGGCTTTTGAGGCTGTGACGAGCGCAACAGTCTCAGACATGTTAACGCAGAAATGTCATTCAGTGCTGTGCAATCTTTGTACATGTCAGTTGCCAAGTGCATTCATGCAGATGACTGTTGACAGCCTTCGTGTTAAGATGGAGAATCAAAGACATGCAAGACAAGATTGCAATCACCACTCATTGGACTCAAAAGGTCTGTCAAGATGTATTCTTTTTGTTTGGGTCATGCGTGAACATGTTCTGTGAAACTTGCATGCGTGAACTTGAACCTTGTTTTGCAAAGTCCACATTGGGGCCCGCTTGCTATCGCAACATCCCCTCAAACATCGTGTGAAAACCAAACGACCGTGATTTCTTTTGAACTCATCCCTTCCTGATGAAACAACCAGTAAACTGAAAACATCAACCTTGCACCTAAGCTTTGTCCTTGCCCTTAATTCCACATGCCCACCCTTGTCCCAGGGAAGTAGTTGAAGGAGTGGAGCTTTGCAAGACCAGCAACATGGTAAATTACAGCATATAAAAGGACCAGCAAGCGTTACAATCTGCAGCATTTCAAACGTCGTAAGACCAACAAAAGATGCTACTTGCAGCATTTGAAACTTTTTAAGACTAGCAGACGCTGCAAATTGGAACCATGCCAAAAGCAGCAGACGCTGTAATTTGCAGCGTTTGAAGCATTCCAAGACCAGTATACGCTGTATTTTGCAGCGCTTGAGATGTTCCAAGAGCAGCAGATGCTGCGGCGACTTGTAGCAGCTTGTAGCGTTTGAAGCGTTCTAACACCAAGGAAGGGCCAGTTTCAGACACCGATTTTTTGGCAATTTCCCGAAGTGCATCGAGTGGTCTTACCCGTCGTAGTTCTGAATTTTTTTTGATGCTGACATGACATGTTTTGGTCTGCGAGTACATATTTTCTGGTGAATCGGAGTTTTTTGCTGTTGAATATTTTTTTTGGGATCCCCCCACCACCACCCCGTCAAAACAGCTTGCTAACTCTGGAGACGTCTCAAATCTTCATTGCATCCTGTAACCGGAAATTGCCAGGGTCCACGTCCCACTCGCCGACGTTGGGTCCATGGCGTCCCAGGCCGCTCAAACAAATTGTGGCACTTGACCGAGTGCTGACCCTGCAAAAATCAGGTGTTGAGCCTCATGGGGAGGCCAGCCATGTGTCGGCTCTGCAGAAGGCGGTTGTTTTTTCAAACCACTCATTGCAGTCTGCTAGCCAGAAATCGTCATTGCTGGTGAGTGCCAGGAAATCGTGGAGTTACGAGAGGAGCTTGCAAAGGCACCGGGCAGTCTATTTGTGGCAAGCGTACATTAAGCCTATAATATACATTAATATACCCCAATATAAGAATTTTTCAATGCAGGGCGAAAACAGATTAGGGCTTCCAAAAATAAAGGGCCTCATTTGAGGGTACCTGATACCTGTAGTCCGGACCATAGTTTGTTGGGGTGAATATTAACGCTCTCTTCATGCTGAAGCATACGAGGCTGAAAGCGAGAAGGACAGGCAAGTCGCATTGCCGTGGGCCCGGAAGGTATTTCATGGGTTCCCGTACTACGCCCCCAAAATTACCCGCTCCCAGGTTTTCACGCGATAGGCCTTCATTTGCTCTAATTATCCGTAACAAACTTTCAATAAGGGTGAAAGTAGGGGATGGGGGTATATGCGGGAGTAGTAGGGAGCCCATGTCTAGACGTGGAAGTCCATGAGTCCGCTTGCCTCCAGAATGTGGTTGACGTTCTATAAGCCCAGAGTACACTCCCTAGCGTTTTTAAAGACAGGACTGTTCGACGCAGTCAGCTTTTGTAAGATGGCAGGACAGGAGCTTGGGGGCACGTACTACTTTTTACACATTGAAACTGCTACGTCCATGTGTGGCACGATGTTTTTGCGAATTGAGCCGAGAAGCCCAACTGGCCAACTGGCGCATTCGGGGCCTCAATTCCAGTAGTCGTGAACATTGGGTCTCATAAAGCACTTCAGAACACCTAATCCACCCGGGCTTGTATGCGGCTTTTATTATCTTAGAAGGTACAAGGAATGAAGGAATTGATCTTCTCCTTGCCATTCCGTAATTACTGTTCCATTCGAGTCTCCATTGTTTGGGTAATGTCCTATGTAATATCCCTGTATACCGCCTTTATGATCCCTGTTTCATCCCAGTGTAGCTCCATATACTCCGACGCGGATTCCTGGTGAAGACTTCAGCTCCCGCACCAACCCCAAGGCGCGACCAAGAGATTCTTGAGCTCAAGAGGCAGCTCCAGGCCAGGAAGATTCGCATTTTGGGTCCAAGTTGACAGCTACAAGGAGTTTAGATAGTAGATGTCATGGAAGTTATTAGATGTTATTGGGAAGCCTGCGAAAGCAGGAAAGGGATGGCCCAACAAGAGGCAGTTGTGTTTTTTCAGCCTCTTGATCCGGTTCGTGACCAACAACTTCGTGCTTCTTCTGATTTGTGTGGCCACCACCGCCGCGCGGTTTGCCACCACTGGTCGCAGTGGTTCCGGATCAACCGCATGCGAGGCCAACGTTGCTGCACAAAGTGTGGTGAGCCGTGGTCGAATGACAATGCATCTTGGCCAACCCGTGGCAGCGCCTGTAGACGAACAGCTGACGTACATGATCAAGCCATACGCAAACCCGAGACATTCGGGGCACATTCAAAGATCTCCAAAACAGGGCACGGAACAAGACGACCATGGATGTGGATGGTGGGGTACCTGCCGGGGACACCAGCAGGGCATTACGAGAGTTCCCTTAGCCACTCAACCTTGGACCGAGCTCGCATTCCATAGGTCCGTATGCGCCGAACGGTGGCGCATAGCGCTGCGACCATTTTTCCCAAGTGCCAGATAAATCAGAAAGTGAATTGGCTGAACACTCAAACGATTTGACAGTGAGCGTCTTACGACAAGTTTCACACCAAACACAACGCGGCTGAGCTGAATCTCATAGCACGCAATGGTCCAACATCCAAGTACGACCGGCCCAAGCTGTAAGGAACGAGCACGCGCAGAACATGCTGGCACGGGTTGAGCACCGCGAGGCCCCTGAACGTGACGTGGGCAAGCGTGGGGATTTTGTGTGACCTTATGGTCTCAGCCCATGTGCAGCTTTTTCAGCAACAGTACTTTCCACGCCTTGGCTCCGGTTGAACACAGGCAAAGTGATACGGACGGGTTTTTGAGTATTTTAAGAACGAGGCTAGCTCAATGCTTTGCAGCGGAAATGAAATATGCCCCAGTGGAGGTTGTTTGCTGGCCACAAAGGTCCACTTGAATTTCCAACCACTTCCGGTAGGCTCTTTTCGGTGGGTCTCTAGCACATCCCGTTTTCCGGGTTTTGATGGGTTCATCTTTCGCATGTTCAGGCTTTCCCTGGGCCTGCTAGGGGGTGGCAGTGCAGGTATTGTAGGTTGGTTCTTCGACCTCACAAGGCGGAGAGTACTTGGCAACGGCTGGCTCACAAATTTTGAGAGTCTTTTGTATTACAGTTCTCTGCTGCGTTGTTAGTCAACTGCTAGTCAGAGTAGCCAGGAAAGGCCTGGAAGTTTGGAGGTGGTGAGGGCTCCGGATTTTGAGGTTTCAGGGTCTGGAGCATTTTCACTGTAAGGGTATAGGGTTTGAAGATAAAGATTTAGAGCTTCGGGGTTTGAGGATTCTGAAGGTTGAGACATTCGAGGGCCCAGGGCTTGCTCTTCGGATTCGATCTTGGGAGTCAAACCCAGCATGGAAACATGTTAGCTTCGGCCCCGCTTGTCAGTTTTAGCGAATACGTATATTTGTATACATAGATAGTTAGATAATGTGTACACATATGAGAACTTGCTTAGTTGAGGATATCCTTGATGATGAATATGGTGTGCTGGGGCTTGGACACACGATCACAGCAAGAAAACAATTCTTTTGTTTGAAGGTCAAGTTAATTTGTCAAAGGCTATGGCTCAAAGCCCGAAGCCCGAGCCCTACACCATGGACCCTTACCCCCAGCTTTGCATGCCAGGCACTGCGTGCAGATGGGAAGCAGAAGGAGGGTGGGAAGGCCGATCTCACCATCTAACAAATATAGTTAAAACACATATACATTTGTATACATATATGCACACGTACGGGGTTGTGCAGAGTGGAAGGATCAAATGGAAGATGACAGGCAACCCCTGATGAAAGACGGTTCGGGGGGATTGTCCTGTGTTTCCGAAATCAAGTGCATCAGGTTGTGAGGTAAATTGTGCCGCAAATACATAGTTGTTATACTGGTATCATGGAACCGCGTATTATTAGCTGGGACGCAAATTTTCTAGTGCCACAACGTCTGGCCCCTTTCGGTGTTTTATGCTTGTTTGGCTGCGTGCAGTTGTTATCATGAATGCTGAGGCTATATACTGTATATACTCAAGGTCCTGTCGGAAGTATTACTTCTTCTGCGTTTCAGCATGGCTGCTCTAGCTTCCGTGGCATGAAAATTTGGACAAGTGCTGCTTCTCCGTCACAAAGTCCCCGGCTTTCGTCGGTCAGCAGTACTGAAGGGTGTGTTGACGACCTTGTGTTTTGAGCCCCATGCTTGCTCGAATTCAGATATGGGACTTCAAGTCACCAAGCAGCCCTGCCACAGCATCCTGGTGAGCCTCTGAACTGTGTCTTCGGGTCATAAAATTGTCAGGAAGGATGTCTGAGCCTTGCCGAGCACAAGGCAAGTCAATTGCACCAAGCGGAGCGTGCAACAAAAGCAGGAAAGGTCGTTCGTCGGATTGGTGCGAAGATGAAGGCTTGACAGGGATAAGTCTATCAACATTTTCCAGGGCCTAATGGGACTTTGTACCTGTTCGAGTGTCGTGCAACGCTTTGTATGGGCTTGTGCCGCGCTGTAGCCAGTGCCGGGCTTCAGAAGCAGCGTAAAAAGCACCAGGCTGGATTGCCCCACGATGGGCGTTTCTCTCATGTGGTGGACCCCTCTGGAAGTCTGTCGAACGTGGATTGTATCAGTTGGCGGCATGCTGCATGGTCCAATTGCAGAGAAATACTGGTATCGAATTGGGATGTTTGGTTCCTGGTTACCCGCCAGATCTGATCTGGTTCGGTAGGTTGGGCTAATAGCCTATCTTGTCGTAGTTTTTTAGCCGAGTGTCTTGTGTGTAGGTTCATGTCGACTAGTACTTTCTGCAAAATGGCCTGTGATTCTTTTGCGTACATGTGATCTTAGATCTCATGAGAGGTGGTCGGAGAAAATGTTGCTTCGGGCCGGATTTGTGTATGGAAGGTTCCTGACCGTATTGTGTTCTTGCCGCTGTACCGAAGCCTCGTATAGAATCCTCTGCGGCTTACATGCTCCCATGGACTTGGGTAGGAACGGATAGATGAGACAGAATCAGCCTTAAAATTCCAAAGAGCATATGAGATTTGGGCTTCAACACGTTCAGGTCTGTGCGAGCGTTAGGATTGGTCTGGCCGGATCATGGTTTGACATCTCAAGGTATAAATTTTCCGAGGTGTGAGGCAATGCTATTCCATTGTTTGTTTTGTTGCCTGGCAAGCCTTGCATCAAGATAACCTGGGAAATCTTCATGCATCTGCCTGACGCACAAGCATCTTTGGCGCTTGAAGCCGTTTTGGCCACAAGCTGCATGTTTTTCGACGTCGATTCTCCTAACGTTTGACATTTCAGGACAACTTCATGCTAGCGACAGTCAGCCATTCATCATCCACCCAACCTGCAAGCAAAAGGGCCTGGATGAAACATTCTTGTTGCGCAGACCGCACTCATTTTTGCAGATAGCGACCAAGACGGAGGGCTTAACCCCGAAGAAAAGACATCTGGTAACTGCCGACTCAGATTGATTCCGTGCGTGACGGTGGTTGGTTTTCCTCTGTTGCCTAGTGCAACTAACCTCTGCTTCTTGGTTTGCTTTAAAATGATGTTCACATCTTGACGTAGGAATTTTGACATGGTTCTGCGCTCTTAGCTTCAAAGCTGGAGGAATGCAGGCAAGATGTGTCGCAGAAGATATGAGTCATTTTGTATGTGCCTGAGGCGGATGGCCCCTGATCCAAGTGCCCATGTTCCCGGCAGATCTCCACTGCGTGGCATTTGCCAAGGCAGCTGATTGGAAAAGATAAAACTGGCTGCCCCTGCCACAGCAGGGCCTTGCAGACCCGTAACATCCCTAGTGGGTCTGCTCTAGAAGAATTCCTTAGTTGAAGCTTGTGTGGTGACTGCTTGCTGCAGAGTTTCCCCTTGATGCTGGATCCCAGTGATGTTCTGGGTGATGCAGGTCTCAGAAATTTTCGATGGCAGACCACTTACGGCAGTGACTTTTGCAGTGACTTCAAGGAGCCACCCACCTTCCAGTCCTTACCCGCCGTGCAGGAACCTGCTCTGACTCAGACTTCGTATGGCACTTGCTATCATGGTTGCCCCCATTTTTGCATCTGTACCGTTGTCGTCTTGCACTTGCAGTCAGAACTAGATTCATGCAACATACTTCTTGAGTCTAACGTGCTTGTGTAGGTCATCTAATCGGGAGCGCGAGACAGCACAGTACTTTGAGAATGCAGTTGCAGACTCAGGGCAGCCTAGAAGAGTAAGTTGTAAATCAAATGCATGTTGCCTCGGGTCAGGCTTGAACTCCCCATAGCGACACCACCAGATGCAGTAACAGTTGAAGCTCGGCCATGTGCCAGGACTTGATGCCTTCCAAGCCAGCCCCTCTCATGCCTGGGGTTTGCCCCTCAGCCGTGAAATTTCGGATAGATTCGGGTGTAGAAATGGGGCATGCAGAAAGCAGGGATGCACCGTGGGGCTTGCGGGCTTCTCCAGCCTTGGCACACAGATCCTCATGATCCTGATGACTTCGGAGAAAGATCTTGTGGTAGCTCGCAGACGCGTAGACATATTTGTCAGATCTCCTAGCCCTGGTTGCAGGCCTCTTCTGATCACATCAGAAAGCTAGTCTGAGGCCGATCCATCCAGCTCTTCAAGCATCCGCAAGTTCAAGGTGTCGTCCTCAAGCGATCAGTCCCCCTTGTCTAGACTTGCAGCGTCAGAGTCACTTAAGCAGGAGGACCATGATTTTCTAGGGTTCCCCGGATTAGCAAGAAATGGGGCAAGGGTGCTTTGAAGAGTTTTCCAGTGCTGTGCTCCTGCTAACTACTATTAGTGCAGGCAGGCAGGCAGGCAGGCAGGCAGGCAGGCAGCAGGCTGGTTCTGACGACGGCGGTGTCTGCGGGTGGCAGGAGAAGCTCTGTCTCGGTGCTGCAGCGGGCCATAGAGAAGCTCGCCACAACAGCAACTTCAACAGCAACAGCAACAACGGCAGCAGCAGCAGCAGCAGCAGCAGCAGCAGCAGCAGCAGCATCAGCGGCAGCAGCAGCAGCTCCTCCAGCACTAGTCATCACGTGAACTGCCGTGATGAATATGATCATGGGCAGTTCAATGCGCAACTGCTCATGCTGGATCAGCGGTGGTCTGTTGCAGTTACAGGTGCATGACCTCACGAACTCATCCTTGGGACACCTGATGACAACTGCATGCATGTGTAACGGCCATGTGGGTGCTCCAAGACTGCCTGTTTGACCATCCCCATAATCGCCCTGATGCAACCCCCCAAATACAGTAGTTCTGATTTGTTCTGTATTCCTACATTACCAACAATTAACAACCCGAATGAAGAGTGAGGCCAAAGTGCCAACTACGCCGCCACCTGGCGGCCGGCTACGTGCTCTAGGCACATGCAAGTCAATATGGGAGTTTCCGGAACCTAGGGGTCGTCCTTGAGGGGCTTCTAGAAGAGGATTTCTGTTATGTATCAGGTGCCCTTATTTCTGGAAACTCCTACATGATTGCTTCTCAGAATGAGACCGTGACTAGCTATCGGGATACTTGCTGCTGTCGCTGTTGATTTGATGCTGTTTGGCTTTTGCGTATTCGTTGCCAATCATTTGGGCAACTGTAACGGTCAGAGGTGATGCTTCTTCTTTCTGAGTCACGGTGGCGAAGCAGCAGCGTTTCCACATTGGAACTCTGCCCCTCCATTCCTTGCTTGTCCCGTGCAACAATTGAACAGCCCCCACTTCAGGTCTGTGCATTCTTTTCGCAGGGTTGTGAGATGTTCGGGTCTCGGATTTCAAGGGCATCTACAGAACGCTTGAGGCGTGAACGTTGCATCTTTATGGTGTTACGGCCTCAGGGCTTCAAGCTGCGCAGCTTGCGGATCTAAGGCTTCGCTGCGTAGTTATAGTTATAGTCATTGTTACGGAATGTCGTAACTTGTTCGTGCAGGTGGAAACCTGCAGTGGCCCGATGTGCGTATCCAGGTGAAGGATTTCCTGCTCTCACCCTTGGAATTATGCTTGCGAATGAGATTTTGTGCCTTCAGAAGCGTAGCAAACCCCATGACTGCGCAGCCGTCGCACGAGTCTCCAGGAGCCGACGTTGCCCAGAGAGATGGCAGAAAGAAGTCGTTGGCGCAAGGCACAAGCGGGTGTTGTCAGGCAAATGTGCAGATGTGGAGACATACTTTCGTCGCTTTGGAGCGCAAAGTGCGTGTGGAACCTTGAAGAGCACCTGTTACACCACCAAATGTTTCGATTGGGCAGGAGTATGCTTGCGGGCTACGATCACCGCGAGCTCGCTACAATGGGACCAAGGTGCATGGCCTTTAATATACAAAAAATATATTATAGTATATTATAGTATACTAAAAGATATTGTAGTTTTGTACTCGCTTTTTGGCCCTGGGCAGGACTGGGAGCAGAAGCCGCAGGAAATGATTCTCCGGGGGCCCATTGTTTTGGGAATGCTCACGCAGAGGCGGTCTAGCTCTGCGGGACCCGGCTGAATCGAAGCTTTTAGAGACTTCACAAGGATCCCAGGCCCATGCGATGCAGCAGCGTGCAGTGTGCTTCTTGAATCATTCTATGGGAGTGAGAACCTGGGCATGTGCCTTCAGATACGATAGGTGCAGGCTGAATGATGTCACAAGGTCCTGCAAGTCTGGTCAGCTGCCGGCACAATCGCGCGCAGACCGCAAGACTGCATTGCTGGCAGCGTTGCCGTGAACTGATTAAATGTGGAATTGATGGGGCCCTCAATGCGTCCCTTATCCCATCTTTTCTTTTGCTGACGACGGCTCGCAGCCATAGCCTCCTAGTACGCGGCTCATGCTAAGCATGAGTGCCGCTTTATTTCCGCAGTATGGTCTGAGACTCTGTTTTCGAGAGTTGATGGAATGACAGAGGTATTTGAGCAGCCTTGTCATGAAGTCGTCAAGAGAATCGAGATCCAGACCAATACGCCCCATGAAGGGAGTTGCCCTTCTTTGGCGTGCTTATTAGGTGCCTGAGCCCATGCCAAGATCCCAAAGCTCCTGAAGGACATCCGCCACGTGTTCCAACAAAGACTTGAAATTGGCCCTCCTTGGGATGTGGTTTTCCTGTAACTTTGGTGTAGTCGTTTGATGTTTGGCTTTAGGAAGACATGGCTCAAGTTATTGCTAGCCCAAGGTTAGCTTAGTGACCCCACGATTTTCAAGCGCAAGCAGCAAAATGGCGAACAGGCCTGCATTGAGATCCCCGGTCAAGAGTCGATAGCAAAGCTACATAGCTGCACGTAGATGCGCCGACAAGTCAATAGCCCCCAAGAGCAGAGGTGTCTTTCACATCTTGCACTTTGTCGCGTTTGGCTCGATGGAAGACTTGGGAGCACATTTGCACGTGCAATTCTTCATGGATACAGAATGCAGGTGAAATGTTGACAGATCCCACAACAGGATGGGGACTGTGATAGCCTGAGGTAGCCAAGACCATGATGTAGCATGTCAGCTCTGCCATGAGCTGACCCTTACTGCCATGGCAACGGAGATACGGGCAGTGGTCTTGGATGGGTTGCTTCGACTGACTGGGTTGAAGAGGACCGCTTCACCCTGATGCTGCTGCTTTGATGACCAGTTCTTGGTTTCCTCTGCCTGCGCTTGACACACATGAGCGTGCTGAGCAGCAGGCACACGCTCAAGGATGTTCCGCGCCGCTTGGATTAGCAAGAAGAGAGAAAGACTTGACAGACTCTGACCAACGATGTGACCGCAATACTGGTGCCTCACTGCAATCTCCAAACATTCATTTTTCGCCGCAGAACAGCTAAGCCAAGCTGGAGCTATTCCGCGCTCAGGGAACATAAAGCTTACCCTGGGAGCGAGTGCTGTGTGGCAGCCTCGGTGCATCGGAAAGGTGATCGATACTTGCTGAAGTCCTTGGTGAGCTGCGCTGCTGGTGGCATGCTGCTGCGTAGTACTCTTGCTGGAGCTGCCTGAGAATGCTTCTTGGGATGTAGCTTGTCTCGTTTTGTCAGTTTAGATTTGACCTGCGAGCACTGGCGCCCACTTTTGGATTCTTGGCCGTGAGCTCTTCCAGCAGAGGGCAAATGAACGTTTTGATCAGCCCTCACCGGAACAGTCTGAGTGAGTTTTCTTTTCTCACCCACTCCCCAGAGCAGCTTGATCCCATGAAAGGGGCTGGAGAGAGGCTGGAGAGCCCACCGTAATTGAGAAAATCATTGAAATGCCGTGCTAAGCCGCAGAAAGGCTCATCCTTCTTCTTGCCAGCGTGCTGCTGGCGGCCGGCCACACGGGTTTTGCGGTCTTGCTGATGGCTGTGTGTTTTTGCCGCTTGCTTTTTTCTCAAGATGCTACCCTGCTGACTCGTTACGCAAGCAGCCGCTTTGCAGCCGTGGGCATCAGCTGGCCTTGTGTGGTTCATCGGTGGCAGAGGGCGTGGGGCACCAGGTGATGACCGGCGTCATGCTGAACGCATTCCGGTCTGTTGCCGTTACGCCAGCGGCCAATGTGGCAGGGACCGACGACATGACATCATACATTTCCGCCTTTTGACCGGCTGCATGTCCTATTGTAACATTCGATATTATATGATACTATATGATCTACATTATACCATCTTATATTAGAGTATACTATATGATACTGTCATATGACACAATATGCTATGATACACTTTAATATACTGCTGCATAATCATTTAGCTGGCGTTCCAAGGCCGGGAGGCGTTCTGACGCTACCAGCAGATGAGTCGACCATTGTAGGTGTGGGTCCGAAAATCTTTCCACATCATTCCAAGCACGCTGGATGCGCTAGTGGCTAAGGCCGACGTCATCCTGTGTATAACTGCCCGTCACGCATGGACATGTTGCCTTTGTTTTGGCAGCAGCCGGCAGAACGTTAAGCTGACCTGAGGTGTTGGGGAGGCCGTGGACCTCTGTGGCCTCGTGGACTACCCCAAACTCCCTGCACAGGATTGCTTTGATGCTATGGAGCACACCCTACGCAGCACTGCCCCATGCATGCTGTGTAAGTAATCCATGTAAACTAAACTGGTGCCTGCGTGCAGCGAAGCCGATTTCTAGGAGCTGATTTTCCACACTTGACATGCAGGACTTGCGCCGAATAGAGGATGTCGCGTTCTCCATGGATGGCACGCAGCATGCTCAGCATCATCTTGCAGGCTTGCAAATTTGTTAGTTGTGCGGGCCATGCTTTGTTACCAACGTCCAGTGCCTTCTATGCTCATCAAGATTTCCTCAGTAGCTCGAACACTCACCGTGCTGTGCAGCCATCATGCCTCCGCGCGTGCAGCCGAAGCGAAAAGCCGCAGCCAAAGCTGCCGCAGCCAAGGCTTGTGCGAAAGTTGGATCTTGCACAAGTTGCATCATGCTTCTTCAGGGATTCCAATTTCACCGTTTCAGCATTTCTGCGTAGGAAGACGAACCGGAAGAGGATGAGGAGCCTGAGGCTGGCCGAAGCCAATCACCGCTTGCGCGCCTTTCATGACATTCTTGGTGGCTTAGTGGCAGGAACCTGAGGAGGCAGAGGCAGAGGATGAAGACGCCGATGAGGAACCTCCGATGAAGAAGGCAGGTCGACATGTTCGTTGTGCGCGTGCTGCGCGGGCACGTCCTGTTCTGTTCAGGCAAAGGCGCTTCCGGCTCGCGGCGCTGTGATGGCCAAGGAGCGGTACCTTCGGCAAGCGAAGTGTGATCATAGTCGAGAAGTGCACGGCCGAGGCGAAGGCCAAGGCCAAAGCAAAAGGCAAGGCCAAGGCCAAGGCCTCTTTGATCGTATAAAGTTGGTGGTTGAAGTAGTCTCAGTCGGCTGTTCACATGGCGAAGGCTGCGCCAGGCCGTGGTGGTGTGATCAAAGCGGCTACGAAGGCTGCTGCGAAGGCCTAGCTTTACTTCCCAACTCTGACAACCAATGAGAGTGAGTGTATGCTATGCAATGGATGCGTATACAAGTGTTCCAGGCAATTGCCGCAAAGGAATTTGCAGCTGTCGCCTCCAAATTGAAGAAAACCAAGAGCAAGGACAGCTGGGATAGTTTGCATGCGCCTTGTATTTCTTCTGTTTGGTCCTATATAATGGCCCTTCAGTATTGGCGCTCTGATTATGTAGGCGGTAAGCCAAGGGCAATTCCTTCGCACTACTGTGGGCAGGAGACAGTGGCTGGTGAGGGCAAGTGGTACTACATGAGCGACCTGAGGAAAATGAAGGTCGGTACAGACGATCCAAAGGTTCCTCAGCAGCAATTTTTTGAAGCGAGCCTTTGACCCATCTCAAGTTCCATGTGGCCTAGCCGGTAACCAACGCGTCATGATGCCTTCTGCTAGGCCTGGACAGCCTACAATGCCAAGATGAACAAGCAGCTGGAAACGGCATATAGCAAAGGCTGCAAGCAATACACCATGACCCTCGGAGACAAGAAGTACTGCGTCAAGCACCTGGGCAAACTTAGTTTCTTGTGAGATAGTCCGTTTGGGATTTGCGCTTGAGTTCGCGTTTAGGATGCTCTGTGGTTGAGAGGTTCAACACGATGGTGCAGTTCCGAATGGATGATAAGAGTCTTCAAAGACCAGTGAAGCGTGAGTGAGCTGTTGCTGCAGCTGACTTGGAATCGTTTGACGGCAAGCTTGTAAATGGAGTCTCAGAGCTTGTCATACGCAGCTTTTTGCGCTCAGGCCGTTTTAAAGGCTGGATAGCTGCGGGAATCTGCAGCTGTCCTGAAAGACGCGCACACTATCCGGATGCTAGGAGCATCATCGGGCCAAAAAGCAGATGCCGGCTACTGCAGGGTCCCCTGATATCATCCCTTAACTAGTCATAAAATGAAACCCAAAAGACCGTTTTCGGCTGGACAATTGCTGTGTTTCTGTCTGGTCAGGAGTACACTTCTCATTGATGCTCAAAGATCTGTACCTTTCTTTTGCGCGATTGTCATATCCCCCCTAAAAAATGGTACCATATTCCCCCTTATTCGTATAGGTACCATATTGAAGGTTTTCATTGGAACTCCAAACCCTAAACTCCAAACCCTTCACCCCGAACCCTAAACCCCTAAATACCTAAACCCCTAAACCCTAAATCCTAAACCCCTAACTCCTAAGCCCCTAAACCCCTAAACCCTACAACTCTAAATTTGGAACTCCAAGCCTACGCCAAGGTTTCACTTCTACCGTGTTGCCAGCGTCCATCAGACCAAAGGCCAAAGCTGTGTTGCTAATCCTGTTTAGGGTTTAGGATTCAGGGTTTTTAGGCTTTAGGGTCTTTAGGTTTTAGGGTTTAGGATTTAGGGCCTTTAGGGTTGAGGGTTTAGGGTTTAGCGCTTCTAGGGTTTAGGGTTCAGGGTTTAGGGCCTTTAGGTATCAGAGTTTAGGGTTAACTGGTGGTGTTTCATAAGTAGGACATGTTTTGGTATGTGTTACAGTCATGAGAGTGCCGCTGAAAGCCTTGTCTTGGCTCTTAGCCAGTATAGTGACCATGACATGGGACCAGGAAACGCAGGCAAAGAAATGGTACCTAATATAACCCATTATAGTAGTTTCCATTTCATTTTCCATTATCCCAATATAGCCCTATATAACCCATTATAGTAGTTTCCATTTTCTTTTCCATTATCCCAATAGGATGCAGCTCAAACCTAGGCCTGCAGCTCTGATAGCTTCATGGCTTAGAACTGTTTTTGTTTGCTTAGTTATGCCCGGGCAAGGCAATGCTCCTGCAGTGGACATCAGCATAGGACCATCACCTACACACGCCAAATAGAAGGTAAAATGGTTGCCATGGATCACCTCTCTTCCAGTCCTGAGTTTGTCGAGGTCATCAAAGGCCAGATGAGGGAAGAGCGCAGCAAAACGGATCTGCTTTCTGTGCCAAAAAGCTCCTTCAGGTGCAAATCCAGGCAGTGCTCAGAAAGCGTCGCTCAGCTATCATGAGCCAAGCAGTCTGAGGACAGTATCATGTATGTGTCGTTATTGTCTAGGGCTTAGGGTTACCATTATCCCCCTAAAATGGAGAACCAAATGGAAAAGAACATGGAAAATTGCATAGAGACAGCGGGATAAGGACTAGCAACGCGGCTGCGTCATCATTTGTTGCCGCGTAGCTTTATCGCTGCAGCAAATCTTGATTTGAAGATTTGATACGGGAGGGGAGCCGTTGCCACATACACGTCCTCCCGTCACAGGAGGGCACATCTGAATAAACACTATAGCCCCGATAAAGTCCCTATAGAATCCCTATGGAATCCTCAGATAGTTGATGTATATACGCTGTTCTAATACAACAGTTTCCATTTTCTTTTGGATTATCCTTATATGAGCTCCTGGCAGTATTAGCCTTGCCAAGGGACCATTAAGGGCATAGGGATCCCTCTTGTAGTTTGGTATTGTCCTTAATATATCCCCTAATAAGGAATCCATGTTCATTAACTACTGTAGTTCATATTGATTTTGAATCCCTATATAATCCCTATGCCTATAGAATCCTTATTCAGTCAGTATATATTTATATCTATATCTATGCGCGTTGTCCTTGTAGGTAGATAGCTATGCCCCTAAACCCTAAGCCCGAAACCCTAAACCCTGAGCCCTATCTATCTATCTATCTATCTATTTATCTATCTATATATATATGTGTATATGCACAGACTTCGGATGGTTCTAAGGTTGTCGCTGCTCAAGCACCAGGCTGTGAAGATCACTGGCCTGTCCGGCTCCCGGCCAAACCTTGGTCTTCCCACGGGCTTAGGGTTTAGGGTTTAAGAGTTCAGGGTTTAAGGGTTCAGGGTTTAGGGTTCAGGATTTAGGGTTTAGGGTCTAGGGATTAGATGATAGGGTCTAAGCTCCGTAAAGGGGGTTACATGGGGTTTCGGATTTGGGGTTCAAGCTCCATGAAAGGGGTTTTTAGGGGATTATATAAGGGACTGTTATAGGGTCTGTTAAGAGGGATATTAGGAGTTTAGACTATGGCTCATAAAGGGATTAATGGAAAAGAAAACGGGAACTATAATAATTACAGGGTATATACAGGGATTCTATAGGGATTATGTAAAGAATGGAGACTACCACAGTATGACAAGGTATACATGGGGATGTATAGGAATTATGTAGGGATAATGGAAAAGAACATGGAGACCACTGTATTATAACAGGGTATATATATATATATAAGAACTATGCGGCGATTATATAGGGATTATCCAGGGGTTATAGAGGGGTTATGGAACAGCAAATGGAACACAAGCACACGAGTGTGCACAAAGACAGCACCCATCGAGAAAGGACTGTGCCCATGAGTAGAGCACAAGCAGAGCATGCGAAAGGTGCCTGGATGGTGGAGTGGCCGCCGAGGTTCAAAGCGTACCTGGACCCAAATCTCAGTCCAGTTTTCTGGATGTTTGCGCGAAGCAAAACGGGTGCCTCTCTGATGAGGGCATGCTTGCCACTGCTGAGGAGAGCGGCCCACGAAAGTACACGTTGCGCGTGGGACGTGCCTCTACAGGCGAAGTGCATCCCTCGGTCCGGGAACGGTTTTGTGCGGTGATTTGTTTGACGCGGGGCTTGTTAGGCGCTGCGGACATGCGGTTTATCAATGCATTGATGTGCCTAGGTGGATGCGAGGTGCAGCTGTGTGGATTTTAGGACCCGTGGCGGGCTCTGCAAGCACGGCCTAGCTGCCGCCCTCTTTCTCTTGCAAGCTGGCCATGAGCTGCCTGAGGTTGCGGCTTGGCTTGGAGGAGGTATGCATCAAGAAATAGCGCCAGCAGGAGAGTAGGAAGGAAATGAAAGCAACAAAGAAATTCATCACCAAAGCTCTGGCCTCACGTTGCATGCTTCGCGCTGCTCCTGGATGCGTCCTGAGGCAGCCTCGGGGCCTCAGAAGCGGCCACGCGAGCGGCCCCAAGCCACTCCTACCCGCAATTCGGTGGAGCAAGTTACGAACTCTCCCGAAGAGGTGCTGATTCGAGGGCTTGCTTAACATGTGTTGATGGGTCACCTTGCATTTATTGCCCGTGAAAATCCCTGAAGGTCGATGAAGCCCTGCCAGCTTTGAAGAGGCTGGCCCGATAAGATTGACATGCGTGACGTCAACCCGTAAAAGGCGCAGACCCTACCAAGCCACCCACTGTCAAGATGAAGTCAGAAATTTGTCATGCAGGGTCCTCGTGAGGAGGTTAAGAATGCCAAGCGCAGAAGATTGTCGAGGTCTCACACATATAGTCTCCAGTTACAATCTAGAGCACTTGAATCCTCAAGTATCACAAATTTTCGAAGGTATGTGACACTGCTTGTTCCGGCAAGGCCTCAATTTCCGAAGCCAAAGGCAGCAAGCGCGAGCGCCATCAGCCAAATCCAACGCAGCTTGGCGGTGCTTTTCAAGTTTATTAGCCATTCGTCCTTATTCTCACAAACAGGATGCCGTTTTTCGGGGTTGACAAGAGCCCACATCTTCACAGCTCTTCGAAGCTTGCTAACCCCTTGTTGTTTCAGATGTGCAGGAGAGTCTTCTGATCAAACAGGAATTGAACAGGGACTTCACAAGCTTCTTTTTTATGGGGCTTTGGAGCCCTCTCTAAACCAAGCTTTTTTTGGGTCCTCATGATGATGTCCTGTGTGTGAGGGAGTGTGCTTGTTGAGCCATAGACATGCTTGAGTTTGAATCAGGGAAAGCTGACATTCAGCCGTTACTGCGCATGTCTTGGTGTGCCAGGCCTCCCATACAGTGAAACAAGAGACTTGAACAATTTTTGTGCATGGTGAGAGTTTCATGATGATGCCTCAATTGCGTGCTAAGAGCGGTGTACTGAGCTCGGTGGCAGCAGCACAGACACAACCTTAGTGGTATACGAAATAAATTGGCCTTGGTGTTTGAGGAGGCTTCTTCCTTCGCCAACTGCAGACAGCGGCTGCAGGAGGCGGGGGGCCTTTGCAACACTATGTTGTTTGCATGGGGATTTCCTGCAGGCAACCACGCAAGCTTCACTCGGGACCTTCAGCGAATTACCGAGCCGCTTGGGCAGGATGAGGCATCGGTGCTGCTTCACAAGGCACGGAGGGACGGTTCCCTTGGTCATTCCAAGAGCCTGTCATCTAGCATTTCTTCCCCTCAAGCATAGTCTTTCAGGCCATCCATGGCAATGATGCAGCCGGTGCAGAGAAGGATGCTGCCTCAGACAGTAGCCCCCGAAAGCTGTTATGCTGACCGCTAGACTCCCTGCAAAACAGGTGGTCCAGGCTCTCATCGCACGACCAGAGGGTGCTGCAGCGGTGCGTGCAGGCAAGAAATGGAATCAGAACGAAGCTTTACGTATTATGTTACCAGCGCTTGTACTGAGATCCCGTGAGATAGGGTCTTTCAAGGCGTGCCCGATCAGCTGGGCAGAACACCTTTGCACGCGGCGGTGGCAGCCAACAGGCAGTTTTCTTCCAAGCCTTTTTGCTATGCCTCCAAACTTCATCGATCCGAATCAATCCGTGCGTCCATGCCAGGTTACACATTTGCCGCGCCCTCCTCGCAGCCAATGCTGATCCTGGGTTACCGGATGGTCACTGGACATTGAAAATCAGTTTGATGCCAATCACCCCTTGCGAAACCTAGATGTGACACGGCTTGAGACCTGCAGGGCATGGGGTCTCTGCCGTGGAGCTGGCAAGCCGCAGGAAGTTCGATGCGTCCAAAGGCGCATTTGCTGGGGAAGAAGTTCTGGGCCCCTGATACCAACTTTCGTCGAAGTGCTTGCTGGGGACTAGCACAAACGGTTGCTGACCAGGAATACTTCGGGCCTGCATGTATTGGAAACTGTCAAGCATGCATTGGTGTGCCAGCCAGCCTTTTTTTTTTTTTTTTTTT